AAAGAAATATCCTCATGTTATGACCCCTAAGTAGGGCCAAAATATTGGCTCAAATTTGTTTTTTACGAGAATTAAAGGGAATAAAATGTCTTAGAAATCTGAAGAACACCAATATGACTCAAGTTAACATTGTGGGCCAAGTGTCATTTAAATTGCACACTTTCATTACCCTACAGATTCTCTAATCTCTTATTTAGCATATTTGTTTAAGAAGAAAATTAATTTTCTGACATTAATTTCCCTGTTTTGTACACACCATAGAGTAATTCTTCTTTGGATAAATTTGGGCTTTCATATGAAGTGCTATTTATTGAACAACAGTGAGTCTCTTTAATTCTATTTTTAACGCATTGCCATGTGGTTGGCACTACTTTCATGGCTAACATTTTCTTGTTGAACTGAAAAGTATGCATATAAAGAATTGTACCTATTGCAGTCAGTTTTCATTAAAAACAAAGGTTCTTTGCAAATAGTTGTAGCCACTTTGTTTTATTTAACTATTTCATATTTTTTTATGCACTGCTAAAACTTGTAGCTGCGCATTCCTGCAGGTGTATTGTGCACTTCATGGCTGCAAACTATTGCAACTGTCAATGAAGCTGCATATACCAAAAGATGGTTTTCATTATGAAGATAAAATGTACCAGTTTTCAAGTTTTGGCAACGCTTATTTTTAAAGATATGAATGTTTTTATTTTCAGTGATTCTCACTTCGCTGCACACAAAAGCAAACCCTTAAGTGGTAGTGGTAGTCCCTTTTAAAATCGATGCTACGTCTGTGTTTTAATTAGTACTCGAATCTCGTATTTCGAAATTCGAATCTCGAATGTACGAAAGCCAAGAAGGCTCATTTGAGATTCAAGTTTGAAATTCGAGATTCGAAATTTGAGTTTCGAGATTCAAGATTCAGATTAATCAATCAAAAGCGGGTTCAACATTTCATTACTCCCCTTTATTGTGATTTTACTATCAAGAAAATGTTTAATATATTTATAACAAATGAGTCATTTGATTAAATTACAATGCAAGAAAGAGTGTTATATATATTAGAAGGAAATTTAAATAATTATTGATTTTTGATCAGCAAGATATACCTCAATTTATAATATGGCTTCCTAAATATTAAATAGAATACATATATCAGTAGTATATACATTTTAGTGTCTAAGTTGTATACGGGGTTGATGACATATAAATAAAGTTATAAATAAATGTTAGGTGTCTTAAGATTAACAATAATCCCACTCCTACCCACCTGCCCATTTTTCCAAACACACTGAAAATGTTACTTTGTAAAACTTGAAAGGCAACGTAGTATTGATAAACAAAAATCGCGTTTGTTTTCCTGATAGAATAAATACATAAAAATTAAGTATTTACGAGGGTTGTCCCAAAATGTCGTAGACAGGGAACATAGTTTATTTTCTCTTTGCTAGATCAAATTTCTTTTCTTTTCATAGCAAAGAGTAACATTCTATGGTCATGTATTTTAAGTTTCATGACGATACCACATTTAATAAGAAAATTATGAAAAAATAAAGAAACCATTAAGTGTACATCGGCGCACGAAAGCAAGCGTAATTTACGTCTCTCATAACGTCATGGGCCCTTTTTCTGTTTTACATGAGGCTATTAAAATCCAAATGAATATTTCCTATAGTGAAAAACCACTCTTGACTAAGGGAATAATTTAAATTCACTACTGTCCGTTTTCGTAAGTAGATTCAAATTTTAGTCAAAATTAATTAGTTGAAAGACCACCTTACATTTTAGACAGCAGAGAATACACGTTGTTTGACGACGTTCATGGTCCAGAACGTTGCCCGCAAATGTCTGCGTTAAAACAATCAGTACTCTACTTTACATGCAATAACTTTTTTTTCGATATAAAGGAAAAACTATCTTTGAATCTCATACTATCAAAATCAACTTTTCTATTAAAATATAGTGTGAAATGTCCTTTCTGTACTCCTTTTCCCCCGTCTCTGATGAATATAAAATATACCAAACACAATTTATTACATTTCCGTGCGCCGGGTACGCGTTCGTCGACGTCATTTCCACCAATCTCAATTCGAACAAAACTTTGAAAATCATGCCACCAGTCGTCTGTTTCTAATGCTATTGATATGAAATTTCGACATGTTATTAAAATTTTGATTCTGGTTTCAGTGATTTAAATTTTAGTTCAATCTTTTTCATAGTACCAAAGAAATAAAAACAAATGTGAAAGCTATATGCGTAAATTATTCCGAATTTTGGTCGTGCGCCGACAGACCATATCGGCCTTCATATAAATCGTCCCAATATAATTATTATGAAAGATATATATTTAAGAATTCACAATTTAAAAGAACATTGAATGTATTATGTCTATGCAAAATTTGGTTAGTATTGGTTCCGTGTTAAAAAAGTTACTACCATTGTCTACGACTTTTTGGGACAACCCTCGTAATTACTTATCTTCATCTAAGGCTTTGATTTCTTGAATTAATTAAAAATTATATGTACAATACAGATTGGCAATATGAATTAAAATAAATGCGGCATTTATTTGATCTTATACATGTATCAAATGGTAGATGAGTCTAAATTAGATGCAGAACTAGAGCGTTATGGTTTTATATTTTAGTTTCTTACCACATCGTTATGGCCGAAGACTAAAATATACCCGTGAAACCTTATAACGCTACAGTTCGATTCAGCAGTCAAGTCTTACTGCACAAATGTACCCTGTGCAGTGAAGAGACGATTCGTGATATTTCATATCTATTTATAATCAAATACAGTATTCTCCCTTAGCAATGATCTGATGAAAAAAAATAGTCAACCTACTTGTTCCGCATGTCAAGGATAAGACCATATAATATTCCATATATACGTATTTACTATTTTGTTTAAGGAGAAAAATAAGAATAATTATGTATTTTACCAAATGTAATCCAAATTTTATTTTTATTTCGTTTTAATACATAAAACATTTTTTCTTGCATTATAATTTTATCAAATGACCCATTTGAAATATAAAAATATTCAAAGATTTCCTGATAGTAAAAACAAAATGGAGTTATCAAATGTTGAACCCGCTTTTGATTGGTCAGTTTGAATCTTGAATTTCGAAACTCGAATTTCAAATCTCGAATTTCGAATCTCGTATTTCGAATTTTGGGCTTTCGTAAATTCGAGATTCGAGGTTCAAAATACGAAATTCGAGATTCGAAATACGAGATTCGAAATTCGAGTTTCGAGATTCAAGATCAAGATTAACCAATCAAAAGCGGATTCAACATTTGATTACTCCCCTTTATTATGATTTTACTATCAAGAAATCGTTTAAAATATTAATAACAAATGAATCATTTGATTAAATAACAATGCAAGAAAGAGTGTTATACATATTAAAAGGAAATTTAAATTATCATTGCATTTTTGATCAGCAAGATATACTTCAATTTATATTATGGCGTATTAAATATTAAATAAAATACATATATCAGGAGTATATATATTTTTGTATTGTCTACTTTGTTTCCTGGGTTGATGACATAAAATCAAAATTACAAATAAGTGTCAAGTGTCTAAATATTAACAATAACCCCAACCCTACCCACCCCACCTGCGTATTTTCAAAACACACTGAAAATGTTACTTTGTAAAATTTTAAAGGCGACGTAGTATTGAAAAACAAAAATCTCGTTCGTTTTCCTGATAGAGGACATACATAAAAATTAAGTATTTAATAACTTAATATCTTAATCTAATCCTTTGATATCTTGAATTAATTAAACATTATATATAAAATACATATTGGCAACATGAAATGAAATAAATGCGGCATTTATTTTATATTATATCAATAGTAGATGAGTCGAAATAAGATGCAGAACTATAGGCCTAGTGTTATGCTTTTAAATTTTAGTCTCTGACCATACCGTTATGACCAAAGACTAAAATATACTCCTGAAACCTTGTAACGCTACAGTTCGATACAACAGTCAAGTCTCACTGCACAAATGTACCCTTTATAAATGTAATGACATATATACCCTTGCATTACTGTGCAGTGTAGAGACGATTCATAATACTAGTATTTCATTTCTAATTATAATCAAATACGATATTCTCCCTCAGCAATGATCTGATTAAAAAAAAATAGTTGAACTACTTGTTCTGCAAGTCAACAATAAGACCATATAATATTCCATATATACGTATTTACTATTTTTTTTATGAGAAAAATAAAATTATATATGTATTTTTCAAAATGTAATCCAAATTTTATTTTTATTTCGTTTTAATACATAAAACATTTTTTCTTGCATTATCATTTTCGCTAATGACCAATTTGTTATAAATATATTCAATAATTTCTTAATAGTAAAACCATAACAAAGGGGAGTAATCAAATGTTGAACCCGCTTTTGATTGGTCAGTTTGGATCTTGAATTTCGAAACTCGAATTTCGAAACTTGAATATCGAATGAGCCTTCTGGGCCTCGTACATTTTATTATCTATATCAGTATTTGTAAGGTTTTAGAAAAAAGCACGCTTAAAAATAAAAACAGCAGTTAAAGAAATAAAACCTAGAAGTTTGGATTTACGCGTACTTGGCAATCTACACGTAATTGGATACGTGTTGAAATTCGTCATTTACAGAAATTGTAATTCTTGTAGTTTACACTTACAAGTAACCTTGCCAAACCTCTCTACATCGTACATACGACTTACCATGTCATTATGACGACTAAATATGTCGTACGTGAGACCTATCGAAGTATCTCGGTTTAACCATTTACTGTATGTCGTTTATTTGACTGAAAATCTTGTTCGTATGACTTGCTATCTCAAACGACAAAGCAAAAGATATTTTCATCTGGCAGCAATACGCTTCTGTAATATTCCAAAAATAATTCCATATGTAATTAACAACACACGATACATTTTGCTGGAATAGATCCTTAAAAAATGCCTTTATCAAAGCTATTGGACTTTTTCTTAGACACACCCGTGGACTGCAGAGACCTCTATGATAAAGGTGTCATAGTGTCTGGTGTTTATATCATTTGTCCATGGAAAAGAGGGGAGACAAACTTACGTTGTGTGCAAGTCTACTGTGATATGGCAACGGATGGCGGGGGTTGGACAGTAAGGATGACTGATGATTAATTGTTGTTTAACGTTTTTTCCGAGATTTTGTACCTTATTTTTTTCAATCACTGGATGTCGGTGAAGGTCTTTAAATCCAACCCTTTACTCGGCACCATTACTAGGGCCATTCAATTGTTATGTTTTTAGTGTGCAAACAACTACAGTAACACAAGGCACGCGAAGCGGTTTATAAAAAAGCCTAAACTGTTCCAACCCATGTTATACCAGTGCAACTTGAGTAGCTATTAAATTAAAAAATTCAGCATACTTTGAAAGTAACGTCAAAAAGAGTAATATGTATCGACAACGGCTACTTATGTTATACAATATGAACTAAATCTTTTATCCAGTCAAATGACGTGTTACAACGAAATTTAAATCATATATCGACGATCTTTTATCAAATTCAATAAATATTTTAATTCGTATGTCGACTCAATTTATCCCAGTGAACATAAAAAAAGACACCAGATTCTGCCACATTTGTTTCATATTTGATGTTTTACCGACTATAGGCGATACATGTAAAGATCAATTAACAACTAAATTGTATGACTAACTCGATGACTTTAGCTTTCTCATCGTCAACTTTCCTTATTCATGTAGTAATGTTCCATGACCACCTGCTTATGGTGTTTATATCCCCCAACTTATTCGCTATTCAAGTGTTTGCTCAGTATGAAGAGTTTGAACAGGGAAACAGTCTACTCACATATAAGTTGGTATTACTTGGATTTCAACAGCCTCGACGTGTTATAAACTATTTGTTAGGCCTTTGTTTTTGTACTGAATTGACCATGGATTGTTCCGTGTACCTGATCAATACATAGGGATATCGGCAGGTGTGACCAGTCAACAGGAGATGCCCTTTCCTCCTGGGCATCTGACCCCACCTCTGGAATTCCAGGGGTCTACGTGTTTTATGCCCTCTTCACATTTTTGTATTGATTGATTTTAACGAGATTGGTCACTGTTAGGTATCTTTACCTTTTACATTTATAACCTTTCAATTTGATCATCAGTGTGTTCACATTATAAAATATCTACAAAGGTGATACAAAGAAGACAGTCCTGCGATGTGAGCTTTGAACGAAATTGGGAAGAATATAAGATGGGCTTTGGAGATGTTTCTACAAGCTACTGGATTGGTAAAAAAATTAAATCAATAATCAATCAGACAGCTACCATAAACAAAAATAGCAATTTATGCTCAGAGAAGGTATATCTTATGTTCAAAGCATATAAGTACAGTTTTGAATGTATAAATACACGGACAGTATACTTTCATCATTTGCCAATTAAAGTATCTGTCAAGGTTTTACGATTCCTTGTCTTAAAATTGTTATAACATTAGCTATCCGGTTGCAGAGGTAGCAAAAAAGAAAATTTAAAAAACCTGGCATCCGCATCTTTAATGTATTTCGTGGATGATTTCTTATTTCAAAAATCTTTCTCTCAGAGATCTAGTAATAGAATGTTGTTTAACTAATTTTATCGGTTGAGCGCAGTAAAAGTGTGCCTCATATTCTACATGTTTTTTTTTTATTTTAACTCATTGAAGTATATATATCTTAATTTGTCAGATGTACGTGAAAACAACGGTACAACAAAAGGAAAACAAGGGTAAAATGCATTACAAACTTTTTTGGCAGAGACATCTTAGAACGATTTGATCTAGTCATAGATGAAAATTGTGTACCTTCTTGCTTTTCACAATTGATACACAATACACGAATATAGCACACAATTTAGCTTTAAATACTGGTATAACTTTGTTGGATATAGAGAATAGCTACAGACAGTTTTTAGCTCACCTGAGCCGAAGGGGTCACATTGGGTAATCAAATTTTACCTGTAAATAATATAGGAAAAATCTTTTAAAATCTTCTTCTCAAGAACCACAGGGCCAGAAAAACTGAAACTTATGTGGAAGCATCCTGGGGTAGTGTAGATTCTAAATTCTTCAAATCATGACCCCCGGGGATAAGGCGGGGCCACAATGGGGAATCAAAGTTTTACCTAGAAATAATATAGGAATAATCTTTAAAAATCTTCTTCTTAAGAACCACAGGGCCAGAAAAGCTGAAACTTATGTGGAAGCATCCTGGGGAATTGTAGAATCTAAAGTGTTCAAATCATGATCAGTGGGGTAGGGTGGGGTCACAATTTGTATTACGAGGCGGAAATCTGGTAAAGAACAGAATGGTCAAAGTTTTCAGGTAGGCGATGTGGCCAATCGTCCTCTTGTTGTTCTTTGATCACTCTCCGTTATCTTTACATGTTCATTTATGTTATATTATCAACAGTATTTAAATAATAAAATGCAATGTTTCAAATTTAAAACGTGGAATTTTCGGCTAAAACATATTATTTTACAGGAAATGACATTATACACCAACTAACAAATGAAAGAAGTAGTTCTCTTTACATAGAGATTACTCTCTTCAACGAACGAGTCCTGTTTATAAAATATGAATATTTCTTCATCACCGATGAAAAGACTGATTACAGACTGAATATTAGTGGAAAAGCAAATGGAACTTTGGGTTTGTAAAGTTTGTAATAATTTTTTTCATCTGAAAAACAACAAGATGTAAATTAAAATTTCCGATGTGCTTAGTTAATTTCATTTTTTTTTTTTTTTTGAACGTTTTTTTTTTATTTCGAAAGCTTTGGTTTATGTAACTTGAATAAGAAAACATATTTCGTCACCCGCCAGTTCTATTCGATTTCCATAATCCCAGGCTACAATGATTTATAATGCTGAACTCTATGTAAACTAAAATCATTTTGGATTTTATTTCAATAAAGAATTGGAATAATATAAACAAAAAAGTTTCAAAATTATATTGTTTATAAAAACCCACTTTAACTCAGAAAAAATTCTTTTCCCTGTTGTTTATATGGTGAGGCATTTTCCCACTAACACGCCATACGCGCTTTTACATTCTAAAATTTCTTTCAATGTATATTAACGTTCAAATTACAAGAGTTGATCCAAAAGTAATGTCAAAACTTTGATGAGATTGCTATAAATCGACGCAAAGCAACAAAATTATAAATGTACATGATGGAAACTTTATTTATTTTAAATCAGGCCTGAAAAATCCAAAAGAAAACTATGTATACTTTCCAAGATATCGGAATTAAAAAAGAATGTGCGTTTATGGTAATCGCCGTAACTAAATATAACGCCATATAGCGGATACGCACTGTCATTCTTTTAAGCGTTTCCCCTTCGTTTCTTAAAAAGAAATATTTGTGATTCGCGAACACTTTCACCGATTCAACTTTCATTAAGATTTCTTGGTATCATTATACACTCACTCTTTTCATAATTAAGGCCTCTGTCAAAATCTTTTGAACAGTGGCATAAAACAAACTTAAAAATTCACATGTCAGTCTATACGTCTGTCTTTTTTGTGAACGTCAGACTCCATTGAACGTTTTCGTCCGATCTCCTATCTTTCCCTCTTCTTGTCCTCTGCTGATCATTCAGTGACCAATCACCCGCCCAAAATAGCTGAAACCATCTATTAAGATGTCTCTTATTTACATTCTTTATTCTGTAGTCTGATTAATTAACATTACTGTCGCTAGTGATGATGCCCATATTTTGAAGAAAAAATGCATGACAACTCGTCAAACCGTTTTTATCCATTCAACAATCCCTTTGTTCAATTTAACAGAGTAAAACAACAATGTTTATGATCACAAATATTAATGTCGCCATTTAATTTTCAATTTAAAAATATAAAATGACGAGAATTGTGTCTTTTATAAAAAGTTGAGAGATTAGGTGCTTTTTAAAAATCTTTTTAATCTGTTTGTCTTTTTCATTCTAAGAAAAAATACATTTTTAAACGCGACGTTCCGTTGTGAAGCGGCGACTCCTCTATGCTCTATGTTTTAAACATATATAAAATAAATTCAAATGAACAGTATTAAATTAAAATTTCAATGTTAATAAAATTTACATTTGTACATCTTTTGGTATTTGATAATATGACGTCAAATATAAAAGATATGGACACTGTGACATTACTTTTGGATCAACCCTTGAACCTTTTCAATTATTTTTAGGCATATAAATGACCGTAAGTGGGCATTGAAGTTATCAAAAATGTTACTGTAGATCACTTAATTTTCGCGACACCTTATTTTCGCGAGATAGTCATCGACTCTTTATTAGCGAGATAAAATTTTCACGAATTGTGGTCAGTGGTTTATATAATCTTGAGGAATTCTATTATTCGCGAGAATGAAATTTTCGCGAGCATACTGTCTCGCGTAATTGCGCGAAAATTAAGTTCTCGCGAATAAAAAGTGATTTACAGTATTTACTTACATGAGAATTACAAGAAATACATGTTTTTACAAATCAGTACTTTGAACGTTAGGAATATGACACAATTTTTATCAATCATAAAATGGTAGGTGAAGTCACAAAATGCTGCGCAGAAAATAACGTTAATTTTTCTTCCGCATCAAAAAGTTCCTTGACAGAGTGCATAGTTTAATGGATAAATAAATACTCAGTAACTGATCTCTATTTTTTTCTTTATTTTGCTATACTAGTTGTCATGGGTTATATAATAAATTCATCATTATAAAAGTAAATTGATCCGAAGATCACGTCTCGTTGATAGGCATTTTTGGCATGCCAAATTCACATACCATGAAGCGCATTGAAGTGGTAAAATTTCCCGTATGAATGAAAGGTTTTGAGCTATCTTTAGAACGTTGATTGTCCTACAATGACACGCTATTTTTTTTAAAAAAGGAAACATTGGTCAAATGATTCATTCGAATACCTGTAGAACAGGTATTCCATAAATATAAAATCCAATCAAATTGACGGTCTAGATAAACACAGAGTAAGCACGTGTTCGACCAATTCATGTGTTATGGTAACTCTAATAAACATGATAAATTCATAATAATGTACAATTTCGTTGCAATCCGTGTTTTACAGAAGCTGGAACTCTCTAAATCTCTTATAACTTTAAAAATCTCTATTTCATTGAAACTCCTGTTGCTTGTCGCAAAGAGTGGGGTGTCCTAAAACATTATGACGAATATTTCTTGTTTGTTTCTAATGAAATGGGCGTGCCCTTCTGTAATAATTGACTTTCAAAACATGACTCAGAACGTTTCATCCAAACGAAAAATTTTACCACTTCAATGCGCTTCATTGTAAATGAGCTAAACATACTTTCACAGTCGATAAACTAGGTTTATCGGTTGTAAACTACATTTTACGGACTGTAATCTATACTTAACAACGTTAATCTATATTTATTATTTTTAAACCATAGTTAACGCGATCATCTACGATTCAGAACCGTAAATTATACTGAACACTGTAAGCAATCATATGCGATTGCAAAACATATTAGATTATCTGATAAATATAGTTTCTGGATTTGTAAACTATGGTTTAAAATTCTTAACTATAGTTAAAGATCTGTTAAATGTAGTTTCACGATTTGTGAAACTATGATTAACAACTCTTAACTATAGTTCACAATTGTAAATTATAGTTTACAGACGTTAATTTAGGTTTATCAACAAAATCTATTGTTAACGTTTTATTACAGACAGGTAAACTTAGATTAGCATTCGTAAACTATAGTTAACATCCGTCAAATATAGTTTTATAGATAAAAATTATAGATAACAAATTGTTGAATTAGTTCAAGGTGTGTAAAGTATAGTTCACAAGCGAAAAACCTAGTTTATCAACTGCGAAACTATCTTAAGCTCATTTTTGTGAATTCTGCATAATATTTAATATAAGATTGTGTGTTTTTTTCTAAAGCAAGACAAGAAAAGTAAAATGATCTAGACATTATCAGTCTTGTAAACTTTACAGTGTTATAGAACTACGAAGGTAAAAAAGTTATGTATACCAAGAAAATGCGTATTTTGATACAGTAAACCAATTAATCGGTCAGAAAGTCTAATAATCATGTATTCAATTGTCATCCCTAATATAAAATATTATAAAAATATCCTCTTTTACCAATTGTTATAACTCATATATTGCCTTACTTCAAACAAATTATCTGTTGTATTTTTCTTTTGAAATGAAACTTCATTATTTTGTTATGTACGCTTAGTTGCCAATATTGATAGTATTGATTAT